GAACTCTTTAAGACTTGTTACATGAGTATTCTTGCCTTCTTTAACCTTGAAACTCCATTTTCGTTGGCAGGTTCGTCCCTTCACTTTAGGCCAACTGAAGGAATTGTTGGGGCGTACAGGAACTCTGGTGGAAGAGGCCTTCTGGATCGACAAGATCAAATCTCATTGCTTTGTAACGGTGAGGGGCAAAAGCTAATTCTCTAGCTTGTGGCATATGTTTCCTTTTATGACCAATGTGGGCAGATTTGAGGGTGTTGTGGCAAGTGGGGGGATTGAAGGCCTGTTGCGAACCCTCTGCCTTCTCCCTTCCTCCACCAGTACTCAACAGTAGAGGAAGCAGTTGCCACCCGCACAGCTCTACATGGGGTCAAATGGCCCCAGTCCAATCCCAAATTCCTTTGTGCCGACTATGCTGAGCAAGATGAGGTAAGAAACCTAGGGAGAGGGAGGAGGGAAAGGGGCAGGGAGGTCTTCCTCTCCTGAGATTCCTTCTCCCTCTCCTGCCTCCCCTTTGGTTCCTTTAGTTGAACCACAGGCTCCAAAGTCTCTGTCCCCTGCTACCTGGGCTCCTTCATTGGGAGTAATGTCATCTCCATCCTTACTGTCCTTCTCGGTCCTCTACTCATAGCTGGATTATCACCGGGGCCTCTTGGTGGACCGTCCCTCTGAAACTAAGACAGAGGAGCCAGGGGTGCCACGACCCCTGCACCCCCCGCCACCGCCCCCTGTCCAGCCACCACAGCACCCCCGGGCAGAGCAGCGGGAGCAGGAGCGGGCAGTGCGGGAACAGTGGGCAGAGCGGGAACGGGAAATGGAGCGGCGGGAGCGAACTCGATCAGAGCGTGAATGGGATCGAGACAAAGTTCGAGAAGGGCCCCGATCTCGATCGCGGTCCCGTGACCGCCGCCGCAAGGAACGTGCGAAGTCTAAAGAAAAGAAGAGCGAGAAGAAAGGTACTTAGCTGTGAGGGCACATATACCCACTGGCCAATGGGGAAGAGACCCAAATGCGATGGGACATGGTCCTGTGCATTAAGTCTGGCTCACTTTCTTCCACCTCAGAGAAAGCTCAGGAGGAACCACCCGCCAAGCTTCTGGATGACCTTTTCCGTAAGACCAAGGCAGCTCCCTGCATCTACTGGCTCCCTCTGACTGATAGCCAGGTGAGCACTGGCCTTCCTGTCTGCTCAGAGCCTCAGCAAGGCAGGGGGTGGAGAGTCACAAGAGTGCCAGAGTGAGGGAGACTCAGGGATGGGCTTAAGATAGTAAGGGAAGAAACTAAGCATCACAGAAAGAGCCAGTTTTAAGAACCAGTGGGTGAGTCTGCGGTAGGGAAGCCAAACCCAAGAGGATGAAGGTAGACACAAAGACAGAAACTGCGTGTATCCTAGGAAGCTGGCTATGCCAACCACACTTCTTGAAAATTGACTTCAGGTAGCTGATGAATCCATGTTTTATAAACTCACCCATTTCTGTTTTTTAATTTCTAGGGTCTTTTTTGCTTTTTAAAGTTTCTTTGTGACGGGCCTCTTGGGAATTTTAGGCTTATGTTACATGACTATAGAGAGTTTTTGTTCAGGGAAATAGCCAGACCAGGCATGGGTGGTACCACTACCTGTCATGAGTATAAAAGGTGAACACTTAGAGGGACTGGGGCTCTGAGACAAGGGACAGATGTGATTGCTGAGCACCACCACCACC